TAAGGATGGATCAAATAAAACTCATGATACACACAATTTACTCTTAATATTTAAATTATATACTTAGGTTTTTATAACTGTGCTACTATGTACAGTGACATAATCTTATTTAGAACTTATTGAAAATTGTGAAGAAACTAAATTAAAAAGCCTTCAAGGCATGACCATTTCAATTAATTTATGAGAAGAAGAAGAAGAAGAAAACTTCACCTTTTATAGCAAACTCTTGGAGGCCTTCCAAAGAAGTTCAGAAAAGAAGTTTGAATGTGAGGACTTGAGAGCCAGGGTGTAGCCAAATACCTATTCAACTCAAGAATAGTAAATAAATTTTAGCTGATTAAACCAATAATGCCAACAAAAATTTGCATAAAGACAATAATGATCTGGATTCCACTGGCCCAAACTTGCTAGTTTTTGAATTTTTTGCAAGTAAGAAGTATGCTAGAATGCAAGTTCTCATGTAAATTCTCTCTACATTGCCCCAAAATAAAAATAAAAATGTTGTCTACGCTTAAGGCTCTATCAGCAACAAAACCACCTACTTTTACACATTTTAGCTAACTAAACCAATCATAGAAACACAAATATACGAAAAAATGACAATGATCCGACTTCACATCAGCCCAAACTTACTAGTTTTCGAAATTTTTGTAAGCAATGATAAAGCGATAACGCAATTTTCATGTAAATGCTATCCACATTGCACAAATCGTTAATGCTTAAGGCTTCAGCTGCAAGAAAACCACCCTCCAACTCCAACTCTCACGCTCATATTTTAGCTAACTATACCAAATGCGGTCACAAATATACATAAAAATGACGATCATCCGGCTTCCCATCGGCCCAAACTTGCTTAGTTTTCCAAATTTTTGCAAGCAATACCTAAGATATAACGCAAGTTTACATGTAAATTCTTGCCACATTCCACATTGCAGCAAAAAAATCACCTCACGCACATGGCTGAAATCAATAACTGTACCTTCCATGAAGCGTCCTACACTTGGATACAACTCCCCGGTATAGATCCGATGAGGAATTATATGTCAAGACAACCCGACTTCCCCAAAATCCGGTGAAAAGGTCATGTAAGAAATGAAACTCGAATAAATTGTACAAAAAAATCATACATAACAACAGCATTGCTAGAAAATAATGCCATGTAGGGATTGCAATGACCGCTTTGAAAAGAAGCTTGTACGCAGCAGCCGGTGTTTCAGCAATTGGTTCAGAACAATCCATGGGAAAAAGTAAGAATTTGGGTGTGAAATGATGAAAAGTTGAAAAAAAAAAATCTTAAGGGGAGAATTGGTAGATGAATTAAATACTTGATTCGGTGAGATGGGTCTGAATTTTTGAGAGAGGGTAGCAAATATTAATGCGAAGAAGTAGTTACGTGTTCGGTGAAAGAAAAGCCATCTGAGAGGTTGGTTAGCGGCTTCATCTCCTACATTTATTTGCAGTCATAATGTCGATATTTTAGATTGGAACACAATTTGACAGCCCACTCGTGATTGTCACATGTTGTACTGAAACAACATTGTGTTTAGCTACACGCTTTCATTCTCCTATAGTCATTATCAAATAAATCATGCTTAATGTACAATATTGGTCAAAACATGTTATGTGGCATGTCGTCATTACAATTTTTAGATAAAACAACATTGTCAACCAATATTGTCATCTAATATTGTATGAGGGTTAAGGTGGTTATACATTATACTTGTGTATAGCCCCCTCAACCCACCAATAATAAAATATTCATGAGGGGGTTGTATGTACAACAAGTATGGTCCTATTGTACAAATGGTATAATTATTGGGATCGTGCTACTGCGGCAGAGGTTGTGACAAGTCCCCTTTCTTTGGAGTGAATTACACAAATGGTCATTGCACTTTGTAAAAAGTTTCACGGGATCAATGAACTTTAAAGTTACACCAATCCTACATTTTGTTTTTGTGGACCAAGGAGAAAAGGAGCTCGGCATGTACATGAAAGAAGAATTACTCAATTCATCATTAAACTTTGAAAAATGTTTTCATGGGGTCATTGACTTTAAAAATCATCTTGTTCATCATTGAACTTTATAAAAGATTTCCACGGGGTCATTGAACTTTAAAAATCACCCCATTGGCCCTTGGGAAACCTTTTGCAAAGTTCAATGATGAATTAAGTAATTTTTAAAATTTAGTGATCTCGTGGGAACTTTTTACAAAGTTCAATGAGAAATTGAATGATTTTTAAAATTCAGTAATCCCTGAAAATACTTTACAAAGTTTAATAACTATTTGAATAATTCACTCCCTTTTTTTGTATCAAAACCTTAATTGCTGCACCATCCAACACACCAGCATATAATTGCCAGCCCTGACAAGGACTTGTCGCGGCCCTTTTTTAGTATCAAAAGATTCAAAACCCTAATTTTTGTGCCATCCAACACACCAGCATATAATTGCCAGCTAACTATACCAAGGGACTATTGGCGTCTTAGTATCCTTGAACATAATTTTATCCTTATTTTCAATAACAGAAATGTATACTTGATGATTCTAAAGTATTAAAGCATATTTTATAATTTAATGCCCTGGATATGGATTAAAAGTAATTTACTCGATTATAAACAAATTATAAATAACTTCACTTAATAATTTAATGAGGAGTTAATGATATGTTTGTATTAAATCACAAACAAATTATTCTATTAGGGCATGTTTGATTGGTTCGAATTCCATATTCTATGGAATTCGAAGACCATCTTCTTCCAATTTTGTGTGTTTGATAGGTTTTATTTTTCATAGAATTCGATTTTCTTAGTTGTCTTGGAAATTGGTATTTTCTTGATTTTCCAATCTATTGTTAACGGATTTTATTTTTTATTATTTTAATATTTTTATTTTTTTTGTAATGGAAACAAATTTTAAGAATTATTGTATTTTTCTTTAATTGATAATTTTCATGTAAAATAAAGTCAAACGAAAATTAAAAGATAGATAATTTTTCTTTTTTCTTTTTTTTGGCAATAAAAACAAATTCTATCCCCAATACCAGTAAATTTGATCCCTTTAATTGACAATTTTCATGTAAAACAAAGCCAAGTGAACCCTAAAAAAACACTTTCAATTTCAATATTTTTTATGTGGAAAATTATACCAATCAAATACAAAAATTGACAATTCTCAAAAAAACAATTTCTAGACAATTCAATTTTTTGGAATTCGTTTTCTTTCCACCCAAATTCTATCTTTACAATTAAACGAATCCTTAGAAAATTAGGGGACCAATGACAAAGATGTAAAGAAAGCCAACTCCAATTAACAAGTGATGGTTCCAAAAAGCTCTATTATTTGTGGAGGATGGAATTAAGTAATTTTTATTGTATTTCAGTCTTAATTCTCAAACATGTGTGTCAATTAAATAGTGACAAGGAGTATTGAGTATGCTAAGTTTTGCCAACCAAAAAATAATAATAACGTATAACAACAACAATAATAATAGAATTATCATGAAGTTGATCTTATCGTTATTATTTGTTTTATAAACAATTTCTTTTGATTTTATTCTATCAATATGTATAACATCGAGATCAATCTACTACTAATAGCATATTAAGTTAATAATATTAACTAAAGATGTCCATGTTTTAGCACCCAAAAAAAATAAAAAAATAAAAAAAAAAAAGAGAAGGAAGGAGGAGGAAATTATCATCTTCTATCTCATGTAACTATTGGGATCCTTACTATGTTAGGGTGTGTGTTTGTCACCCATTATTTGGGAAGAATGTATTATGAAATAGTGATTAATGTTGAAATATGTGGTTAAAATAGAATGAAAAGTTTTTTATTTACATATAATATTATTTTAATGAAGAATATGTGGTTGAAAATGAGTACCGTAGAAAAAAGAATCTGAAAGAATGAGAAAGAATGGTTGACAAACAGGGGCAAAAGTATTTAACTAAAAGGGGTGTTATCAATTGAAATTGTGATAGATTTTACAAGGCATTCTAAATTTAAAAAGTGTCTTCAATTGAGATTTTATTAAATTTTAATGAAATCCTTTAAAATTTAGGCACCCTCAATAATTAGTGGATTTATAAAGATTTCATTAATAGGATGATTTTAAAAGATTTTGATGGATTTCAAATTTAAAAATACATAAGCAAATCTTTTGAAATTTTACTATACTTGATGAGATTCTAATGAAATTTGTAAAAATCTATTTAAATCCACAAAATTCATTAGAATTTATAATCCTTTAAAGTTCATTAAAATATTAATTAAGAACACCCACGTAAAGCTGTCCATGTTTTAGTACAAAAAAAAGGAGGGGGAGGGGAGCGGGGAGGAAAATACAATTTCTATCTTATATATGTAATTATTGGGTTCATTACATTGGATACGTCTGTTGAGGGAGTCCATACCTCGCTAATTATTGGGTATCACATTGAATACATCAGGAGTTCATACCTTTGATAACCATTCCACACTATGGTCCAATTGTTACAAAATCATACATTATGTAACATCTCTGGCTAAAAAATGCTGAGGTATTTGGTCCAAAGGGATAAAAAATAGAAAAAAAGGGAAAAAAAAAACATTAAATTTGGCAGGAAGAAAAAAATAAAACTAGTTAATTAGGTTATACTGATACGTCAATGAAATCCTCTAGTGATCATTTCCTCTGTTGACGAAACACCAGAAGGTAAACATGGAAGCATGTCATTATAGTAACATTGTACCACATTGTGATCCTTCTGGTCTCTCATAGAAAGTTATCCTTTTTAATTATGATTTACCAATATTGTATATTATGCATTACCCAATATCATTGACTGAATATGCCTCAAGTTTTGACGTAAACAAAGTGTACAATTATCATAAAATCATACTACCATCTCACTTTTGATTTTATCCTGTCGACATTGTATGTTGTGGCTATTTATTTAAGTAAGTTACTATCGTTAACTAAAAATGTCGTGAGTCCTAGTCCAGAAGGAAAACAAAAGAGGAAAATATCATGTTCTTGGGAAAAATTGGTAGAGGGAGTCCATACCTTGCTCCCCATTGCACGCTACGGTCCAAACATTACAAAATCACACTTATCATAGTTAAGTTGATGTCCTTGGCTAAAAAATGCCGAAGTTTTGGTCGAAAGGTGAAAAGAGAAAAGGATTAACACAACACCCATAAACAAGGTAGGAGAAGGAAAACAAACTAGCTAGCTTATGATACATTGATATTTCAATGAAATCCTCCGGCGATCATGGCCTTGGCTGGCGAAACATCAGAAGGTAAAGATGGAAGCAGGGTGAGCGCAAATATTCCGCTAGCCGCAGCTGCCACCGCACCCACAATGAATGCCGGTAAGTTACCGTCTCCAAACAAGGCATCCCATGGTCCGCTTAGCACTGACACCACCATCTATTAGAGGAATAAGGTATTCTCATTAATGCACGTCATGGTAAAACAATTAAAGAAAGCAAGATCTTAATAGATTATTAATCCTTACCTGTGGTATAACTATTGCAAGATTTAGAACTCCAAGTGACAGACCTGAAAGTAAATTATGACAATCAATGTTTAACAACTACAAACTAAATCTTATTTTCAGTAAGCGTCGACTATGTAAATCCTTTTTCGATGGCAGGAGTAAAAAATTGAAATAACCTCAACATGTTTGCAACAATTACCTTGTCCTGCCCCAGAATCACTAGAAAATATAGACGCTAGAGCGAATGGAATGCTGAAGGTCACCTATACAAAAATGAAAGAAATGTAAGCTACTAAATTATTTAATTTCTCAAATGATCTGACCAATAATTAGACTGATCATCAGTATATATGATTCAAATCAAAGTTTTCTGATATAAAACAGATTGTTGAATGGATTGATAAAAAATTAGATCCAAATGGGAAAAAGGTAATAGAACAAAGAGAGCATCCGAACTTTGGTTTGGACCCATAATAACATTTCGAAAAAGAGAACGACGAGACAAGTAGAACTCGTCGTTTTACTGCAATGTACTATGGATCTCGACAATTGGAGTTCGTTTAGGACTCGAAAACTACTTCTAAAGTTTTAGCACTATTTTTGTCATTTAGTTTACTTCAAATTCTTTTTAATTTTAGTTTGTATAAATTAGATTTTCATTAATTTTAATCATCTTGAACTAGGTTACCTTGTAAACCCTTATAAATATGGGGTTAGTTATTTCTTTTTTTATCATCTTTTCATTAATAAAAGTCACAAATTTATTCTTTTCATAATTTGGTGGATTCCAAAATTCGTGCTCTTAATGTTTTCGCTTAAATTCCTTGTTTCGTGCTGTGTGTTCAAAACCAACCTCAATAGAATTAATTAGGACTCCATTGGAGATAATACGTTAATTAATTAAGGCTAGCAATTAATAAAGGGTATTTCCCATGTGCCCTTCAAGATCAACAAAGTCAAGAGCTCAACCAACAAGCCACTCAAAAAAGTTAAGCAACACTAGGCATTCCTTTAAGCCAACTGTTCTATATGTATGATTTTGAACAAACCACTCAAAAGTTAAGCAACACAAGGCATTCCTTTAAGCCAACTGTTCTATATGTATGATTTTGAACTATTCCTAATTGGATTGCCACAAATCACATGTTAGAAAGGCGGATATTCAATGCATTCTGATCAGTGTACCAAATGGTTGCTTAGAAATTAAGTAGAAAGAACAAAATTCACCTCCCTTTCTCTTTTGGTTGCTAGCCAGAAAGTCAAATTTGGTCATTAATATTTCCTTTCGATTTTTAACAAGATTACCAAATTATGAAATAAATAAGTTCGGTGCCCGCGTGCGCAAGAATACAAGAAGATTAGAATAACCAAAAGATCAAGATTATGATTGTGCAAAGAGAGAACTCACCGCTTGAGGAATGCCAAGAATAGCAAAGAGGGCCAAAGCACCGACCTTGACGCCAGTGACCGGTGGTGGATTAGCATCACCATTATGGATGGCATGTCGGCGCGTAGACTCTGCCAATTTGGTGACCAAGACGGTCATGGCCAAGCAAATGGCTAATAAGAAGTTGGCAACACCCCAAAGCCGCTTCACCCCACCAAGTCCACGCGCAAATAACTCAAGAGCGAGGGAGGTGCACCCCAACACCACAGCACTCAGCATCAGCCCGAGTGCCCCTGCACGCACCCCATGGTCGTACAACTTCCCTACCCCCACCTGCCCTCCGTACACCTCCTTCCCCATCCAATCAGTGTCGAACAACAAGAAAGGGAACCAAGCAATCCAATTTAAACAAGTCACCAAGAGCAAAATCCTCATGGGCTTAGGCAACCCCTTCAATGCACCAAATAACTCCCCAAAAACTGGTATTTTACTTTTCTTAACCAGCCCCTGACCTCTGTTTTCCGGTGGCTCCGCCTGTGAAGGGACAGCAGCCGTTTCACGCACAATAATCAAAGCCAATATTGTTAGAGTCAACAAGAGAAATATTGAGAGGAAAAAACAGCTCTTGAGATTTGCGCAATATATATCACAGGCTTTTGTTTTGGTAAATGGAAATATTTTGAACAAGTGAGTGTATGATCCGGCTGCATAACCGAGCACGTTCCCCACCGCCATGAAGAAAGAAAAAAAAGCATTTCCAGTCCTCATTTTCTGAGCATTTCCACCAGAAAGATCAGCCAACAGGGCTCTGCAAGGCCCCTGCACAAAAAATAAATAAATAAATAAACAGAGCAAAGTAATTGAAGAAATTATTCATAATTTTTCTTATATTCTATATATTTCTATACATTTCTTGTTTCAGCTGAACTTTCCACATTAACCCATTCTGGATTGTCACTTTTTCAGTGAACGGATAAAGTACAATAAGATTTTTTTTTCAACAAAAAAAGCACAAAGCAATCAAAAAGTGCCAAAACAAGTTAAATTCAAATGCAAAATTATTAATCCATTAATTTATCTTCTCAAATTGATAGAAAACATAAATAAAAGGAAAAAGTTAAATCCAATTTTTTTTTTTAATTTTAATTTTAATAAAAAGTGGGAATTTAACCCGCATGCATACGGAGTTGAAATTTTTAAGTAATCACGTATATAATTTACCTGTAACATGTTGTTGGCTACGTCAAGGATCCAAAATCCGACGACAAACACAGCAATGGCCCGGGGCTTCGCTGTCTTGCCGTCGTTGCCGAGGGGGTCACCGGAGGCGTGACCAATATCCGCGGCAAACCCAATTAGGAAAACGGCGATGGCGACAAGTGCGGCACCGGCCGCTATAAAGGGGCGGCGGCGCCCAAAGCGGGAGGAGCAATTGTCACTGTAGTGGCCAACAATCGGCTGCACGAACAAGCCGGAAACAGGCCCACACAGCCAGATGAAGGCAGCCCAGGCATGGGGAATACCCAGAAGCTGCACGTACGGAGTCAACAAAGAGAGCTGAAGGGCCCACCCGAATTGCACCCCCGCTGCTATGGCCGCCACCGGAATGAGTTTTCGCAACGGCTCTTGTGGTGACACAAGTGGTGGTTCTGGCACAACAGTACTCAATTTGCTTCCATCAACCTCCATGGATATATAATTTAACTCTTCACTTTCTCACTTTAGAAATTGTGTATGTATAGATTTCTCTCACTATATCTATTTGCAGTGAACTTACATGAAAAGAGTGTGAATTTTGAGAGAGCAGAGGGCGGGTATTTATAAGGGCGTTTGCATGGAGTTTATACGCGTAAATGCTATGGATAAAGCTAAAAGGTTGGAGTTAATGAATTTGGAGGAAAAATCCAAGTCCAGCTACCTAAAGTAATTGAATATTGCTACGTAGCCC